TAACAAGGTAAGCAACAACTTCAGATTTTCAGATATAATCGGCAATATCAGCTACAGTTGCCAGTGATCTAAATGAATCCCTATTTTATATCGTCTATATGCATAAATTATAATATGTATTATATCATCAATTACGTCATGGTGGTGTATCATATTGTTGGAACCGGAAATCGTGAATAATAATGAATCAGTACATGCATGTACTTTTCCAAGTTCCAAATTTCAAGCCTTGTATTTTATTATTTTATTTAATATGATATCAGAATAGTGAAACAGCGAAGACCAATTGGTTAAGACATACAGACTGATACATTCAGAGTGAGTGTTGAACTTGTACAGCATTTAAAAAAACTGTATTTTAATTATCTTTGGTATTTTCAACATCTGAAAATAGACAAATCACTCTTTTTTGTAATTGTTTTGGATAGTTGACTATTATGTGCAAATTGCCAGGTATTTCAGACCGATAACATTGACATTTTTTTTATTTAGGTGATGCAACTATTTGAATGTGATATACATAACATGGAGAATGCAGTCATTTTTTTTCTGTCAATGTGTATTTTCAAACTTATTGATTCATTGAATATGAGCTATGTTTACATTGTAAGTTTTGGGGATGGGGGGTGATACCACAACAGTGGTGGTGGTGGGTGTCCACTATGTGATAGCATATAGTGGAAAAATAGGCCACTACCCACCAGAATTAGATGATGTATTCGTCAGTCCTGTGATACCAGCTGATTATCTATGTTATGTGTCACACTCTTCATGCTGTATATGAAAAGTAGGAACTTAACTCCTCTTTATCTGTCCAGGCTGCTATCATTTCATTTAATCATCAGAAAAAGTCAAATGAAATATATGGTGATCTCAACAGATTTTTTTTTTCGAAAAATGTTTTGGATTTTAGTATTTCCGAGAAAACGTGAATAATGTTACTTATCATTTCACCATGTGGCTATGTGTGGATTCTATGTTACAATGACTAAGCCAATTCACAGCTTAAGGTATGTAATTAATAGTATGTTGGCGTTTTTTGTTAACTTGTAGCTGCTCATGAACCTAAAATAGAATATACCGATGTTGATGAAAATTTTTACAATTACAATTACTAGAACTAAATCCTTATAATAAGTGGGGTAGGTGTTCCCTTCAATTGATATATCAAGAAATATATCATCCAATCCCCCCCCCCCACGTGCAATGTAAATCGGACAAAGTTTTGATCATTCGTTTATTCATATGTCACCTTTCTAGGCGAAATGATGAGTAATCATATGGGATTTGGACATGTTGACATGATAACATCTTGCGAAGATAAATACATGTTAAGTCCCCACTGTACGGATACTACAAACAACAGAAATACAGGTGGCGCCGATTTCCGTTATAAAACAAGACCTGCTTCCGGTAGTGCAATTATGCTACGGAAATAAGTTTGAAGGTGTAAAATGTACAAGGAAAGGTAACTCTCCATGTAGCTGTGTATATCACATGTATTTTTGAATAATTGCAGACATAATGTGTTAGAAGCAAGAAAATTTACAACACAAAATAGTGTAAAGCATTATTACAATAAGTAAATAAATGTTTTATGAATGTGATATAAGTATAACTGTCGATAAACTATTGTATAATATTCCAAAGGTAATTCTTACACTGTAGCATGAATTTAGATGTAGAAAACTGTGAGATGTTGTCTTAATTTCCAGGAAACCAGGGAACCAGATTTTGACAAGCTAAAACAATATTACCTATTACGCACAATTATTGCTTCTTTCAAAATCAATCCGATTAAAATACTATGTAGGTATAGGCTTTATTGTTTTCAATTTTTTTTCTGTTATGTTCGTTTATTCATTTTTCTTGTATCTCAAATAACGTCAAAAATATTTATAAATAAACAAATATAACAATTAATAAAATATGCAAATTAATTTTTAATGACACCAAGGAATGCAATAATTTTATAGATTTTCAGATATGGTCAGCAATATGAGCTGCAGTTGCGATTGATTTGAACGAGTTAGATATCTTTTATATGTATAAATTAAAATATTGATGCCACAATGAGGAGAAATAAGCTCTAATCTAACTCTGGTGGTGTGATATAGCTTATTCCCATGATGCTGATGATTTGCCTGCTGTGTAACAATTGTAGTCAAAACCGTACGGTTATGTCGGTTTTCTACACACATCCTTTAAAGTGTATTTTCAAGAATTTACTAATTTGTTTAATCAAATTCTCATGGCGACAAACCCAACAATACACCTTGTTCTACTGCATAGAAGTTTGGGGGAAACGGTTGACTTAAAACTGAACCAGAGATTTTACGACCAAAATGTCGGTTTTCATTTAATAGTTGATATTCTATTCTATTCTTAGAATAGAATAGAATATTCACTTTATTTATAGACTATTCTATGAACATGAATGCTTCAAAACAGATGAGTTGTGATCTGGAAAAACGATATCATCTTTGAAATCTTTATTCTTTAGTAGTATTGTTGTCTAGTCTGCAGTCTCCAAATACATGATCAGATACCTGGGAAATAGAAAAATTATATTGGAACAAATAAAAAATCATTAAATTCAGAGAAACATTCTCACTGTATTCTGCAGTACGTCTGTTCCATTTCATTCACCTTTGTATCCTTCCAATGGTTCGGTTGTCTATTTTCAAAATCACCATGATCCACAACGGAGCGATGTATTTAAAACTATGCTTATTAATCAGATTTGTTTTGTCTCAGAGAACGGGGACAACCTACAATATTACACATTAACAGGACAAACCTATTTCGTCCGCTCTGACCAAAACTTTAATTACATCTTTAACCGGAAAGAAAATAATGTAATTACAATCCAGTGAGTAATGTTCAATTTAGTATCATTATTGTTTCGAGCAATGCGATATTCGAATCAGAAATATGTGATGTGAAATATTTTTTTTAGTTGTTATAAAGAAAATAAATAATAATATAACATGGAAAGGAAAATATGACTACACACCAGTAACACGAATTGAACTGCATTTTTCTGTTAAATTCTGCGTAACGTTTTTCTCTAATCTTAATTTAGTAAGGATGTCGGCAAGGAATTTATGCAGGATGGAATTTTCTGATGCATGAATTCAAGTTTGTCGCATCAACTGACATACAAAAAATGAATGGAGGCCGCTGAAGATGACAATGCAAGTCAGTACACAGCTGCCGACGCTGACTCTATCAATTACATAATTTTTACACGTTTTGCAAGGGATTTACAAAACCAGCATGATGCCTTCAAGTTTATTTAGGATAACTTTCGGCTCATCGTGAACATTATTGTTCAATATTAATTTTGATATTGCATTCTATTTATGGCATTTCTAAGTAATTGTGGAATAGGTGTGTATTATTATAAGTGTGATGATAGCCTTTCTCGTGCCTGTATTTACTCTTTGTGATGGTATTTTAGTAATTACTGATACATGTTGTGTCATTAAATTTGCTATTTTCAGATATTACTGATTTGTATCGACACAGAAGAGCCATGGTTTCTCTCATAGACTTGGGGTAACACTGACGAAACACACAAGCCACCGCGGTATGTGGGCAGCGCCCTCTAGAAACCGTGTAAACAACCATTTTCTGCTATACTGCGTAATGAAGGAAATGTCATTTTCTACCTACTGAAAACATTTTGGAAGAAAGGCGTTTCAGTTATAGCTATAAACAGTTTTAGTTATAAACAGTTTTCGGGAAACATTTAAATTAATAATAATAACAACAATAATAATAATAATAATAATAATAATAATAATAATAATAATAATAATAATAATAATAATAATAATAATAATAGTAATAATAATAATAATAATAATAACATTTACAGTGAGTTGTAAAATAAACTAAACTACAATAAGATACAGTAAAGTTAATCAACTACACAGAATGCTAAATGAAGCTAAATAATATTACAAACACATAAAGGACCACGATAAACTTATACGGTCCAATACAATACACTAGCTATTATTGCTAAGAAGTGACAAATAATTCGAGTCATAACGGTGGAAAGAATATTTTTATATTTGGTGGAGCTGCTCACATCTCATTCGCATACATTTTTGTATGTATTGTGCAGTTCTTATTCCTTTCATAATTGCTTTGAATTTTTCTAGTTCATTTAACTCGATAAAATTTAGTATAATTTCCTTACAGTACTTGAATAATTCAATTCTGTGTTCTTTGTAAAGACTGTAGTGTATGAGGAGATGTACCTCATCTTCGATCTGCTTTTTATCACAGTATTTACACACTCTTTCATTCCTTGCAATGCCTGCCAGTTTCAATATGATGTTTGTGACCAGAGATTCTGAACTGGCATAGGGTGTGTTCCAGTTTAACATTACTCGTTGTTATTAAATATTTTTTTCATTTTAAACTGTGTTTTGAATTGCATGTTAGATTGTTCTAATTGCTCAGCCACAATTCATTTCAGAATATCAATCTCCAATACGTTTATTTAAACATATTGCTCAGACTCGCAAGTGGAGGTAGATAGTTAGAGGTGATATTATTCTTTGTGTGGACTGGGTACGAATTTGAGATCCGAGGTAGTGCGGCGGAAGCGCCTGAGTTTCAAGTTGCAGGGCGCGTAAGCCGTACGAGCGCGGACAGCAAAAGCCATATAATCCAGTCCATTAAGGTTTTATCGTATAACTTATAGGTGTAATTTCAACTTTACCATGGCGTGGCCTCAAACACACGACGTAAAAGAGCCGGGCGTAATAACGGAAATGATTGCCCTGATGTGGGGCGCACTTCCCATAGCGTTATGAAGCAGGGCAATACGAAGTTTATGAGAATAAAATATTAACCGTATTAATCTATATACTGCTGCTCATCTCAGGGTCGGCGAGATTTTGCGAGAGTTCGCTAAAGACTAATATTATGATGTCTCGTTCCGTTGTTCTCTTTGTGTTTGTCTAGAAAAGAACACTGCCTAGAGAAAACACGATGGATTCATTCGTTCAAGGACCCACGGAGGAAAATGAGACTGAAGGTCAGGCTGCAAAACGCATACTCCTACAGAAGGTAAGGTGACGCAATGACAGATCGGTGACGTGCGTAATGGAAAGCGACCACAATGCAGTGCGACTAAATTTGATAAATTTATTTTTCCTCAATGGCTGTTTGTATCTCCATATAAAATTGCTTTGTATTTTTCCACTTACATGTGTGCATATACTAACACAAGTTATCATGGAATATTAATAATCATAGCACCGATACGTTTCAAAAATAATTGTGATAATAAATTGCACCAAGTAAAGTATTGTAATTTTTTACACAAAGGTTTCACAAATTGTGTATTTACTGTCCACAATATAAACAGATTCAAAGTGGTTGTTATTATTATTTTAGCATTTCTCTGTCATTATCCTGGATGTCATTTACTGAAAATTATTTTTCCTTTTGATTTTACATTGTTAGGTACAGCTATCTCACCTAATAGAAGCATTTTTTCCATTTACTTAAGCTTAATATTGCCATGGTTTTGTTAATTAATAATTCAAAAAAATGAAAAAATTTTTTTTATATTAATCTTTCATAAATAATACTGTAAAATCTGTATTAGAAACTGTGACTTCTATTAAAATAGTACAATGCAATAGAGGGAATGCGGCATCTACACATATGAGAAATGATGATTTTTTTTTGTTCTCAATTATTCAAAAAGAATGGGTGCCACTTCTCTTAGGGATGCGGCTTCTAATACGATAATAATAAATAAATGATAATTATTTTGGTTGCCATTTGCCATGAATTTTCCTGGTGTGCATACATAATTATTTACAAACAATTTGCTTTAGGTAATTCGGTTACATTTCTCATCATGAACTGACTGATGCAATCCTGTGAATTGAGGGCTATTAGGTCAATAATAATAATTTCAAGATCTGCTGAACTCTCCTGGCACCAACAGGCTCTAATCCTTTGGTTAAATATATATGAATATGCGATTGATTAATTAATATTAAAATTAAATGTTTTTTATGTGGTAGTGATTTTGTAAATAATAATGCACATTCATGTAATATAGCACCCAATTCCTTGACAATATCGTGCACAGGGGGTGCCGTACATTATTACTCTAGTCAGTTAGCCGGAGAGTATACAAACCTGGCTGCCTTATATATATATGCCCACATGGGTTACATACCAGGTTTCCATCCTTTATTGGTAGTGAGAAGCATTAGGAATAAATACAGCACAATAGCATTGCCAAGACTCAAATTCACAACTCTATGATTGCCAGTTCAGTGAGATAACCATTGAACCATGATGCCTCCATAGTATTTGCTGGACACGTGTGGGATTGCCAGATTTATATATTGTCAATATCAACTAGTCATAGCTGCTTAGTTATTCAGATTTCTATAATCCAGGAAAGAAATAACAGCCTGGTGACAGTTTTTTAAATTTTTTTTTCAGGGACTGGAATTGAGGTCAAAGTTCAGAGTCAAAGTTTTCATCCTTGTCTCAGAAAATGATCAGCCGTCTGAGTATTTCGGCAGCAGTGATTTTGTGAATGAATATCAGTCTGTTGGATTGAAATTTAAGTCACACGACGTTGAGATATTTCCGGAAATGTCCGGTGAGTTGTATCCTGAAGCTGTGAATTTGTGGCCAAGACATCAATCGTCAAAACCCATAGATGGCTCAGCAGACAACCAGCGTAAAGACGAGTGTCATGGAATACAACGTACGAATGTGTCAGGCGCAGTTCTTTGGCAGCATGAACCAAGAACTTCTAGTACCCACACAAAAATTGGAGAGGGAGAAAGTCGCAGGAAAAGAGTTTTCAGAGAGCCTCATGGAGACCAGGATGTTTCAGAATGTGGTGTTGATAATAGTGATGATGATGCAGGTACAAATCTTGATGACAGTAATGTAAATTACAGTCTGGATGTTGAAAATACAGAAGTACAGAGAGCTCATGAAACTGAGCATCATTTTGAAATTGGCGAAGTAAAGAGACATATTAAGTTGAGATTTAAGCGCAAGAAAGTGAAGCGCAACATAGGCGGTGATAGTGGAGGAAAGCAGAAAAGGAAGTTAGGTACAAAAAGAGCTATAAAAGAACAAGAGAAACGAAACAAGCTGAGACAACTCATACAAGAACCAAGAGAAGATAGACCATTTGTATGTGAGAAGTGTGGCCGATGTTTTGCCAATCTGTTGTCTCTGCAGGTGCATGAGTCCAATGCATTTTGCTCTCAGCGAACTTGTCGTTTCTGTGATGTAGGTCCGTTATTGCACAAAGATTGGCAGAACCATATGCTAGAGAACCATCTATCACGCATGTCAGTGTACAAATGTGGGACTTGTATGCGAGAATTTATGCATAACCATCTGTTGAAAAAGCATCTCGAAAAAGAACACTCAGTAAAAAATGAAACCTTTAAATGTTTAGTATGTGGGAAAGAATTTCTTGTGAAATCTTCCTTGGCAGAGCACCAGCTCAACCACAAGAAACTTGAAAAGACTTTTCCTTGTCAGTCTTGTAACAAAAAATTTGTCAGTGAAAAGAGATTATTGCGACACCAATATGTTCACAAGGCTAAGAATCATGAATGCGAAATCTGCAAAGAACGTTTTCTAAACTCCTCTATTCTTATGCTGCATATTCGGAGAACTCATACGAGAGAGGGATTGATGAATTGCTGTATTTGTCGCAAAGGTTACATGTCCAAGTATGAATTAAAAGTCCATCAGAGCTTGGCGCATAACATGTTTGAACAGTTGCTTCCTTGTGAGCTTTGCGGGAAAACATTTACTCACAATCGCCGACTGCAATTGCACATGAAAGTGGTACACAGCACGCAGCCTGTACAGTGCAAGATATGTGGGAAGCAGTTTAAAAATCAGCATCGACTGAAAGGTCACAGCTACACCCATGCAGAGAAGAAACTAGAATGTGAAATATGTCACAAGTTATTTGCTTTAAAACACCATTATCAAAGTCATATGTTAGTCCACAGTGATGAAAAACCATGGCAATGTAGTGCGTGTGATTATAGGTGTAAACTGAAAGAAAATCTGAAAAAACATTTTGTTAAACTTCACCAAAAACCTCAAATTAATAAATGGATAAAGGATGACATAGCAGCTGATCAAAAATAGTCTACATTTAAAAATGTAAACACCTTATTATCAAGTACTGGTTGCCATGGTTACCATACATGTTGTAT